GGGTCAGCGGTTAGGAACACTAACTGCTCTTGCAGAGGACCCGGGCTTGATTCCTAGTACCCACATGGTGGCTACAAACCATCCTTAACTCCAGTTCCAGGGGACTCCAAAGCCCTCTTCTGACCTCCGGGGCCTTGCCTGATACGGGTGCATTCACATACATGCAGACAATATACTCATACACATAAAATAAAAACAATAAATAAAATTAACAAAAGAAGTGTATATAAGATAAATTATACAAACAACAGTATTTTGGATTGATTATGGCAAAAACTATAGGCTTGAGATTAGGAACATGAAAACACAGACACACGCAATGTTATGAGAACTTGATTTTTAGTAGTGGAAATGGGTCACAGAAAAAGTGGCAGAAAAATAAAGAGCCTAGACTAGAAAGATCAGCCTTTCTGACTTGCTTTTGTAAACCTTAATTACAGCCTATTCACTGGATAAAACCGTAAGTATTTGCTTTTGTCATTCCCATAAACTTACACCATGCCCTCACTGATTAGATACAGGAAGAGGAAAAAACACAAGGATGTTTTAGCATAGCAGTTTAGTGACCATCAGATAAGGACAATGAAATTTACTTAAGAAAACTGATGCTGAAAACATCCTCCCTGACGGAAACTTTCCTATCCCCACCCATCCCCCCATGGACATAAATAAAGAGCAGTCAACATTTTATATATCTTTCACACACACACACACACACACACACACACACACACACACACTGCTCACTGAATTCATTCAAATTTAGGTGACTATTGTGACTTGTTAGAAAGGTCCCAGTATCTAGAGATGTTGGCACCTCAGTGACTTTATCATGGGGCAGCCCCAGTAAAGGTAGTGCCACATAGTTCTTCAGTTATTTCCTACCAAAATAATTCGCATATTAAATGTATTGCTGACATTTGACACTTTAAAAAAGTTAAAAAGAAAGAAAATTAGAAAAAGAATTCCAGAGTCATCCTTTGTGCTGAAAGTACTACTGTGAATGGTAGTCATTTTATATAAACACAAAACAAACAAAAAAAACCCCACTCTTTTGTTGTAGAATAGAAATAATTAAAAGTGCATTAAAATCATTTCTATTACTTTTTGCTCATACAGAAATGCTGTGTATAAGTACCTAATTGGTAGTTAACTGATATCAGCCCAATAACCTCAGTCATCAATGCATTCTCTGCTTCCAAGACACATGCATTTCAGCTGGGGTATCTTAATTCCAAGAGTGCTTCATACTGCACCCCTTTTACCTACATTGATTCACAGTCCTAATCTTAGAACACAATTATATCTAGTCTATCTTTCTTATGGAAATTCTAAATATTTAGAGACTACTCTGTTTCCCCCATTGTATACAAAAATCAAAGCAGCCCAGATGACCAGAGTCCTCTAACAATGCAGCACTGCAATCCAATACAGTATCTTAGAAGTCACTGGATCAGTACCAAGAAGACAATACAGTAACGTTTGATGCTTTGAAAATTTTTTATTTCTTTCAAGATAGTCTGGGATGCTTTAGTCATTTAATAGACACTTTGCTCATTTTTCATCACATACTTATTTAATGCACACCATGCTCCATGTGTTTTATGTGTTATGGTTATGAGTGGACAACCCCGTAAAACTTGTATTATGATCAAGTAGAAAAAAATGATGCAAAAAAAGCCCTAAGATGAAATCACAGAACATCAGTAGTATGAAAGTAAAAACAAAATAAGCATGGGTAAGCATGGTATGGTAACCTGGAGTAGGATAGCTAAGGGTTGAATTAGAGTAGTGGGCATGGGAAGCCATATTAAGAAAATAATAGTATAGTCAAATTAATCTTGGAAACATATGGGAAGACAGCCAGGCAGGCAGAGATGAGTGAATACAAAGGCCCTGATGAGGGAGATGATGTTAGGCATATTAAAGTTTTGGAGAAGCTAATACAATTAGCCTAAAACCAGAAAGGAGGACAGTAAAAGCAGGTGAGATCAGTGAGGGAGGACTACGTCTTTCTTGCAGTAAGAAGCTATTCAGGGTGATAGAACGCCACACAGAATGATTGGCCAGGCAGCATGATTACTTATGCAACCAGAGATATATTTTTACCCTCAATAGAGATACATGCTGATAAACACACAGTAAGCTGAAAATATTACAAGATAAAATGTGACATTTTGGACTCATCAACTGTTACTAAAATTTCTTCTAAATTACTTATTATTTATATGTCTTCTATCTTATACTAAGATTTTTTGATTTATTAATATTTAATATTAATTGGGGATTAACCTGTATGAATTACTTGTCTGGTTGCTGTTACCTGACAACAAGCAACCTTAGGGAGGAAGAACTTCATACCTCTCTAGACATGATGCTGCTGCTCCACTCATTAATGTGGTTACCTTACAAGATGAACCAGATTGAGCCTGTCAACATGAGGCTCACGAGGCCCCACCCCTTTCTGAGGGACTATGGACCTTAATAGTGGCTGGAGGAAGTGGCGTCATTTTCTTCAGTGCTGTAACTACTGCTAAGTTTTCCAGATTCACATAAATAACTCATGCTTGGGCAGGCAAGTTTATTTAAACTTAGTAGGTTGCACACACAAAAGTGACATGAAAAGAGGAAGGAGACTTACTGGGAAGAAGGGTTTGAGTGGGAGAAGGAGCGGGGGTGAGACAGGGTAATTGGGTATGAGATGAACTAATTCATTATATACACGTATGAAACTGTCAAAGACTAATACATTTTAAAAGAATAGATGTTGAATTTGAATTTAATATTTTTCTGCATATATTGAGATGATTATTTTTATCTTGTTAATGTATTTTTTTCTGATTAAATTTGAATGTCAGACCAAATTCAAATTCTTACATAAATCCAACTTGTTCTTAATTTTTTTCTTATTTTTGATATGGAAGAACTGAGAACTTACTGTGGCTATTTCTTTTCAGTTGAACAATTCCATCCTTTAGTGAAGAAGAAAAGCTCATAAGCCACAGGGAGCTATTGAAATCTACAGGGCTCGGGGAAACTCAGGAAACATATAATAAGTCCTAGGAAGTTGTATGGTTATAGAACTCATGAGGTTATTTAAAGAGTAAACATTTGCTGTGGGAGCGAAGACTCTACAATGAAATTGCTTGCTTGGGCAGGGAACTCTGCGAATGCAACTTTTTTGAGTCCTCACCCTTATTGGGGTGGCTTCTCAGAAATGCAGTTGCCTTTGAGTTCCCATGCTCCTGTAAGAACCCTAATTAAGCCAAGCTAGACTTGTGTGGAATCATTTCTTTGATCTGCTGTCAGTGCACTATCTGGAGTGAACAGGTGTCTGTTGATGTCTCCCCAAGAGAAGTCACAGGATGATTTTCAGTAAAGAAAATGTGAGCTAGAACTATACATTTTATTTTTTAATAATCCCCATGTCAGTTTTTAGAATCTAGGTGAAAGTTAGTTAGTCCCCCCCCCCATTTTTTATGTACTCTGAAGTCAAAGTAAAGTTGGACTTATTTCTTCTTTTTCTTTTATAGAATTCATTATTGAAATCATCTAGGCAAGGATTTTTTTTCTTTATTGCAAAGTACTTAATTATAAATTAAATATATTGACTAGTTTATAATCTCTTTACTAGTAATCAGACAAATCCAAGTTTTGGTTTCTTTCTGCATCATTTTTGTTAAACTATTGCTTGGAATTTGCCCATTTTATGAAAATTTATTTTTGGAAATATGTTAATAAAATAATTGTATTATTTCTTATTGTCTATAGGACATATTTTTGTTCCAAAAATTAGTTAGGAATAATTCTCCTTTTAATTTTAATGGTGTGAGCAGAGGTGTTTTAATTTTTGTTTGTTTGTTTGTTTGTTTGTTTGTTTTGGTCTTTTGAGACAGGGTCTCCCAGTAGCCTAGCTGGCCTGGAACTAGAGTTCACCTTGGAGACCAGGCTGGCTTAGATCTCACAGAGATCTGCCTGCCTCTGCCTCCAGAATGCAGAAATAAAGGTGTGTGCCACCACACCTGGCTTTAATCTAGTTTTATATAGTGCTAACCTCATCAGTACAATGTTTGTGTGTGAAAGAGTAGAAGTTATATTTAATAGTCATTTGATAAGTTCAAGGTTATTAGTGATGGATTCAGTAGAAAACCAATGATATTCTCAAAATGGGAAATTTGAAGAATGTTTCATGAAACAATTATCAATAAAATGTTAAGAATCATTTGAGAAACAAAACCTTTCATCATAGTATGCATTTATGATTACATTTTATTTTTTTTAAGAAACATTTTATTATTTTTATTTCTGTGTGTATGATATATGATTATATTGCCTGCATACATGTAAGTGCACCCATGTTGTGCAATGCCTGCAGACATTAGAATAGGGCATCGTATTCTAGTGGAACTGGTTACCAACAGTTGTTAGCCACTATGTGGGTGCTGGTAATTAAACTTGGCTCCTCTGCAAGAGCTGCCCTTAACAGCTGAGTTATCTCTCCAGCCTCTCCTCCAACCTCCCATCCCCTGATTTCTGATTACGTTTTAATTTTCATCCCAAACTCTGCAGGACTCAGGAACAAAGGTATAATGGTACTCAAGGCATTGTACAAACAGTTATACAGACTGCTCCGTTGATGCTGATATAAGTAGGAACAAAGTCAAGGAAATGTATCAAGACATTATTTTTCACTAAATTTCCAATCTTTTTTGAGAGGCTCCTAGTGACTATAGTGACTACAGTAAATTAGATCCTGAAAGCCAAGAGTAGTAAGGTTTTTTGTTTGCTTGTTTGCTTGTTTTTATTTATTTTTTTTTAACCTGGAACACAAAGTAGTAGTGTTAAGAATGGAAAGTATCGGGGCTGGAGCAGTGACCCAGCGGTTGAAAGTACATGCTACTCAAGGCTGGTAACAACCATGTGCAACTCCACTCATACACATAAAAGAAAACAAACAAAGAAATAAAAATTTAAAAAGTGGAAAGAATTATAAAGGAAAACACTTTTTAAAAATCACGTTTTATTTGAGATTTTCACTGAAAAATACAATCAAAGCAATCAAGGCCCCTGTTACACATCCAATTTTATTACTTTTCTCAATGTATATATATAGAGATGAAACAGTGTAGATTTATTTCAAAATACTTATATATCAGTTTAAACTAAGTAACAATGTAACACATTTTAAGTTTTATGTAGTATTTGGTTTTAAGTTTTTAATTTGAAATTTTAATTCAAAGAATAATGTACAATGATGTTTGTAAGTATAAAATAATTATCCATAAATAAGAAGTTTAGGCTGTAACTTTGTATTATAGGTAGAAAATATATGAGATAAGACATAGTGCACAAGCTTTTTCTACTTGCTGATTGGACCCCTAGAATATGAGATTTGCGTCCAGCTGTAATTCATCTCTATCAGATGTTCACTGATGCTAATTTCTTGGTGCATGTCAAACATATTAGGTGAAACTCAGACTAATTTTTCATATGCAAACGAATCCTTAAAAATTAAGTAAAGAGTACTCCATGGCAGAATTAAAATATGTTAATATTCTAGTGTCTCTGGGAAGTCCTCAACAATTTCACATGGATGGATTTTGTTCCAAGCTGAGAAGCCTGGATTTTACAGTGAATTACACATTTCTTTGAGGAAATGTCTGATTTGGAAATCTTGTCCTTCAAATTTTATTACTATTAATGACAACTTGGAAGGAGTATTACTTAAAAGAGGTACATTTTATGATCCTGTCCAAAAATCTCTGAAAATAAAACAAGCATAACACGGCTATTGTTAACTATGTTACTATGAATTTCAGCATATGCACAAAAAAAAATTTTCAGTCTAGGCTATGGCAGAATTGGTTTTGTTATCTCATTAGCTATATGTAAAAGATTAGGCAATTCATGCAAATTCGAATACAAAAGGTTTATTGAAAGGTAGGCACTTTTTAAATTGGCACAAACAAAAATAATCTCAAAAGCACATTTGCATTATTTCTTAATAAGAAATATAGTACATAAACAATTTGACAAGTCTTGTAGTTCACTATAACTGTTAAAAGCTTAATTCCTGAGGATTTTTGGAATCCATTAATTTTCTTAAATTTTATTTTAAAGCAAAAACAACTGTTCTTTAAATTGAGGCTGGACTATGAATCATCAGTGTCAGTAACATTCTGTCAATTTTCCATACATTGGATTTTTCATTTGGGATACAGTTATTCTGTAATTTATTCCCTAACCACTGGCCACAAATATGCCACATCTTCACAGAAATATTTAGCTTAAAGATTGTGTATAAGTAAAAATAATTATTACTAAATATTTTCCACTGTTAAGTACGTCCCTCTTTTGAAGTGCAAACATAGAAACAAAATGAGTCTTTAAAATCTGTTTTGATTTAAAAAAACAGTTCAAGTATCTCCTTTAAGGTGATTTTCTGAAAAACATTAATATTTATGAGCCAAAGTTATAAATATATTTTCTGAAAGGCATAATAACTCATGAATATTCTTTGTTTTACTTAGATTATGTAGGCCATAACCTAGTTTTGATTTGCAGTGTAATTTTGCTAGCTTATCACATATCTCTATTTATACACTTAAACTAATCATTTAGAAAAAATATTAACACCTCATACACGAAGGAAAGTTTCAGACTATATCATTTCATTTAAAAAGCTATATTAAGGCAAAAATGTTTGAATGTAAGTCATTTGTGCTTATTTTCAGTTATGGATGATGCTTATGTTGTTCACGGACTTTTTACAAAAGGTGAGCCGTGTCATAATCTTGAAACTGGATTCCTCGAGAGGCTGTGATCTTCATAACGGCACCATTTAGAGCATCGTCTTCAATGAGTGTGATTAATCCATTGGCAATTGCTGATGGGCTAAAAATAAAGGAAAATTTGTATTCTCAAAGTAAATAATGAAGCATTTTTCAAATTCTTTTCTGAAGAACCTGTAGTCTTGAGCTTGTAATAGAGAAATGTGTGTCATTGAATTATTGTTACCAATTTTTATTTGATGGGGTGTGAACTGAATTATAATAATAAATTTAGTAATCATTTGGGAAAATACCTGTAGTTCATCATTTATATTGATGACATGATAAATTCTCATCTTTTTCAGATCAGTAGATCTTGGACTTACCAGAGAGAATCATCACTGGATGAGAGTATGGATTCATTCATCCAACATAGCACTTATTGAAGAGCTTTATCAATTGATTTGTAAAATACACTTCAGATATCATCTTATTTAAACTTTTCAAAAGTCTCTAAAGAAACTGTATTATCTGTATATTATCTATGAGAAAACTGAGGGTTTTGGAGGTGTGATGAGTAAGTTCATGGTCCACAGTGGGGTTCAAGCTAATATTTGATTTTAGTTCTGATTCTTTCAATACGATAGCTTTGTTTCTGTGCTGTGAAAGCCTCATGAATTCTAACTCAGCTCCAGCTCCCCAAATGTCTCTTTGTATGCATATGTGCATGCATACATGTATTGTGTACATATGCTCTACGTATGTGTATGTGTGCTTGTGTATGTGTATATGTGTGTATGTAATGGTCAACTGTTTTTATGAAGGTGGTTGAAATTTGGGGACCATACAAAATTTCCCAAGGGTTTTACTTGAACATTGGCTGAAGTTTATGCAAGTAAATAATAATAGCATTCAAAGTGATTAAATGCCATTGAGAAAAGAGATCTGACAATGACTGGAGGTATTGTTTATATTTTAACACAAATTTCATAATGCTTAAGCAAATTATATTCAAAATTCCCTCATCCATTTTTCTTTCAATAGTTTTCCAACCCAAACTTTGAGGTATTGTTTTCTCACATTTAAAAGCTTATGTTTTTATGTGTTTGCTTGTATAGATAGTATTTTGTTCCACTCTGTACAACTCTGTAGATATAGTTTAACTTACTCTAAAACTCCAAAGGATTTCATCATAGCTTTGATCTCATCTGTATATCCTATATATTGGCCCATATTTTCTTCTTTTTCAATGGATTCGAGGATGGGTGTTTTGACAAACCCTGGACAAATGGCGTTCAGCCTTACACCACTTTTCATAAGATTAGCAGCCATCTGCCAATTAAAAGCACAAGTTTGCAGGTTTCAGTTTTTCAAAAGTAAAGCACAGAACAAACTTAAGAGTTCTTTAAAAGACTAACTGAAAAAAAAAAAAAAAAAAAAAAAAGAGAGAGACTAACGTAAAACATCCAAGTCAGACATTCTCTCAAGTATGGATCAACGGCTGGTAAGCACAGATCCTACAGACACATACCTAACTTACAGAGTTCATCCATGGAAGCCTTACTGCATTAATTGTTTAAAAAAGTAGTATCACTATAAAATGAAGATGCACAACCTTTCTGCTGTTCTTTCTTATTGAACTCTTTGGAGTTGGAAGCTAGGCAACTGGGACTTCATTTAGGCATACATTAATAATATACATTGTTAGCCATAGATTTAATATTTATACAGTATATAAAAATAGTATTCATTTCCAGACGTGGTGGAGCACGCCTTTAATCCCAACACTTGGGAGGCAGAGGCAGGCAGATCTCTGTGAGTTCAAGGCCAGCCTGGTCTACATAGTGACTTCCAGGACAGCTGGGGCTACAGGAAGAACCTGTCTCAAAAAGATCCCCCTCCAAATAACATTCATTAAGCAAAAACAAATAAAATAAGGTTATGTATTGAGTGGATGAACAATATGTTGTACTCTCAGCCTCTCAGGAACTTTGTCTTTTGTTTCTCCTAGGAGCAATGGTTCAACAGTTGTTACTAATTCATTGCTTGCAAATAACTTCACAAAACGTAAGTGTAGTGGACTGCAGAAATAATCCATCCTATAAATTTAAATTTTTAATCTTTAAGATTCACTCTGCTTTGTAATGGCTTTACCTGTTTGTAAAACATTGAAGGCTTTTCAGCTGAAGTAATGATTTCTAATTAATTTAAATTAAGAGTGAAGATTGCTTGACTTCCTTTCTGAGAGTACCACTAAAATTTATGCAACTCTTTTCTCTGTCCCTCATATTTTCTCTGTCATTAATGTAAAACACCTCATCTCTCTGGTCCCCTCTTTGTCCCTGCTAGATGTACAACCAGAAACTTCCCAACTCTTCTTTCATTTTCTACATTTGCTCTTTCTAACACATTTTTTAAATACCAGGCAAAATGACTTTCTTAAGAAGGAAATCTGTTTATGGCATTATTGTGCATTAAAAAACCCCAACAATAGGGCCTGGAGAGATGGCTAAACAAGTGAGAGCACGGGCTGCTCTTGCAGAGGACCCGGGTTTGATTCCCAGCACCCACATGAGAGCTAACAGCTGTCCTAACTCAAGTTCCAGGGGATCAGATGTCCTCTTCTGACCTCTGTGGGGATTGTATGACATGGGTGCACTTACACACATACAAGCAATACCCTCATACACATAAAATAAAAATAATAAATAAAAAATTTAAAACCATCAATAGCTATACTTGTAATGCAATTCAAGCTTACTACCTTGGTCCAACAGTCCGTTTTGCTCTCTGATGACATCTCTGGTTGTATCTCAACCCTTGCTTGCTAGGCTCTTAACTCAAGCTGCCTTTCTGTCAATTATAAAATGCAAACATTCTCACTTTATGCTATTAACACAAGTGGTCTATAATGTTTTTCCAACCTTTCTGTATGCCTTTCACCCCAGGTCTCCATGGAAACATTGTTCTAGAGGATGCTCTCTGGTAAATGCTTTACCTTTTTCTCCTTACAGCCCTATTCTCCATTCATTTTTTATCATATCTCTGGGGACAAGTACTGTTTTGAGCTCATAGAATGTTCTATCAAAGGAAGCTATGTTAATGTTGCAGAAACTAGACTCAATTTTAAAAACAAAGAGTATTTCCTCATTATTTGTCTTTAAGATGTTCCTCAATGTTAGATTTATGTTTAGTGTCTACCCCACATTAAAGTGATAAAGTCTTTATTTAATGATTGATGTGATCAGAACATGCTTTGGAATAGAACTTTAAGGACGACATCACCATATTTCATCTAGATGTACTGAATTCTGAACTTCTTTTCTTATATTCTGTAAGATTTGGATTTCATCTACATCCACAAAGAAGAAAAAAGAGTTTGTAGTTTGATGTTCTCACCGCTGCTGAGCGTGTGAATCCGACTATGCCATGCTTTGAAGCACAATAAACAGGTTGTTGAGCAACAGGGATGAGTCCTGAGACAGACAAAAACATTTAAAAAATTTAAATAAATGATGTTTTACAAAGTAGACTGTACTCTAAAGATTATGCAAATAACATTATATGGCTGAATTAATTTAGGACTAATCTGGAAAATACTCTAAAATAAAACCAGACACCTCAGTTATGTTAACATGGTTTATTCTTTCCAATTCTTATAGGGTATAGAAGAGATGTAGATAAATTACATTTAGGTATAGCCAAGGGTGATAATCTTTGAATTTCTTGAAAGCAAATAGAAATCAATGCTCTATAAGACAGAAAGAAGGGGCTGGAGGGTTAGCTCAGTGGTTAAGCGCACTGACTGCTCTTTCAGAGGACCCGGGTTCGATTCCCAGAACCCACATGGCGGCTAAAAACCATCCTTAACTCCAGTTACAGGAGAATCCGAAGCCCTCTTCTGACCTCTGTGGCATTGCATGACAAGGGTGTGCTCACATAATGTAGGCAACACACTCATACACATAAAATAAAAATAATAAAATGTCTTTAAAAAAGACAGAAATAAAATTATCTTTGAAAACAGTCAGGAAATTAGCATTTAATTTTCATATTTTTAGTCTGGATTAGAAGTATACATTTGGTTAGAAGGTAAGACCCTACTGCCAAAGACAGAATATACTTCAGACACAGAATTTGGAGCAATAGAACTGCAACTGACTTGCAACGACTTCCCCTGAAGGCAAGCTCTCAGCTTTGGAGAGCTCTATGAAGGTGCCAAGGGAAAACATCAATGAATGATCTAACACCAGCTTAAAGACCAAATAACCACATCAATGGCCAGCACAGAATATGTCATTGGTGTAGTAGTGGCACTTTTATCTTGGGGGCAATCAACAGCTACCTAATTGGACTAAAAACCCATCCAATAGAAGGAAACTTGAGTGTTGTACTGTAAACATAACTAAATACACATGAGCGGTCATAGATCTTAGAGGAAACACCAAGACTATCACATCGCTAGACTAATGGGATTTCTTACTATGTGCAAAATATGTATCCTTATATTTACAGACAAATATCCCACTCACCCCTCATCAAAGAAGCTTGTTTTGCCCCAGTCAGAGACTCTTACCAAGTACCACAACTGGTCACACACGGACATTGTCTATGAATTTCCCAGGCCTTAGTGACACATCTGCAATGCAACCTCTACACCTAAGACTCATGGAACATAGAACGGGGTAAAGAAGTGGACACTAATGAATCTCTCAGTTCTCTGAAGCTCCTTCATTCAGCAGAGGGCCAGGAACACAAAGGTCATAAATGGCCAAAGTGCAGATATCAACAGTCTGTCGAATGTTGGTGCTTGGACAGGACTTCTTCATTAAACTTCACCCACCTAAGGCTGAGGGACCATTGCAGAAGAGAGGGCAGAAGGATTGTAAGAGTCAGGGAGGAGGTGCATGACCATATGGAAACAGAGACCTACAAGCTCCTGCGAACCTGCTCATATGATTCTATAGCAATGGTGTCAACATACACATGTCCCATGCAAACTCAGGCAGACAAAAACCCAGCATAGGACTGGGGAAATGAACAGCAGACCCCCATCTGTCTAAAGAAATATTGGCAACTGATTTCAGCTACGTGAAGAAGAGCTAATCTTCCCGAAACAATCCTAATACTCTGGATTGGCTGACTAGACCTCAGTGGATAAACTTAAACTGGGGAATGGCTGTGTACACTGAGGACACAGTGGGCCTTAATAGGGATGACAGAGTATATGGGCTCCAATGAGGGGGGGGGTTTAGGGAAGAGCACAAATGGGGACAGGGGTATAGAGGTGATTATGATTGTTTGAGATTTTCTATATGAAATACACAAAAAAATTCAGTAAAAACAATTTTTTTTTTTTTAAAAGTGTGCATTTGGGAATGGGGAGATGTCTCAGTGGTTAAGAGCATTGGCTGTTCTTTCAGAGGACCCAGGCTCAATTCCCAGGACCCACATGGCAGTTAACATCTGTCTCCTAACAACTGTCTGTAACTCCAGTTCCAGAAGAATTCAACACCCTCTCCTGACCTCCACAGGCATTGCAGGACATGGGTTAACTTATACACATGCAGGTAATACACTCATATATTAAAAAAAAAAACAAAAGTGTATACATTCAACATTATTTAAGGCTTTCATATGACTGAAAGAAATTAAATAGCTTAAGAGAAACTTGGACATTATTCATTTTTGCTATAAATTAGAATACATGTCCCTGTCATCAATTTTTCTCACATACTGCCTATAAAGAGTTTAAGTAGAGGCTGGAGAGATGGCTCAGCAGTTAAGAACACTGACTGCTCTTGGAGAGGATGCAGGTTCGATTCCCAGGACCCACATGGTGGCTACGAATCATCCTTAACTCCAGTTCCAGGGGAATCCGAAGCCCTCTTCTGACCTCCGGGGCATTGCATGACAAGGGCACACTCACATACATGCAGACAAAACACTTGTACACATAAAATAAAAATAATAAATAAAATATAAAAAAAGAGTTTAAGTAAATTAATGTTAACTTCATGTTGGACATAGTGATACATGAATGATACCCACAGCACTGGGGAGGCAGAGACAGGAGGGCCATAAGCGCAAGAGGTCCTGTCTCAAAAATCCAAAGTGAGGTGGGGAGGCTTAAGTTCTTTTGGTTTGGATCTGTTGTAACTGTTTAGATTTTTTTGCTCTTGAACTTAGAAAAAAAAGGATTTTTTTAAAAGATCTTATTTTATTCTATTTTTACTCCATAACTATATAGTGAACAACAGAATTCAATCAATTATGACATTTAAAATTTTATTTTTCCACATATGCAAAATACCAAAAGATTAAATTAATTGGAGAGAAAAAAATGTCAAGCTTGTAAGTCTTATAGCATGATTCTTTTCTCTAAATCCTAGCTCATCTACATCTACCATTTACAAGGAGCCAACAACAATAAGAAAACCTAAAACAGTCCCAAACAAAAGAAAAATCCCATTAAACATTTTACTGCAGTAATTGTTACCTTCAAACTGATTTCTCACACTTGTCAAAATTAAAATATCAAATTTAACTAGAAAATTTTATATGCTCCTGGTTCCTCTAATTAATTTCTTAGATTAACTTTTTTTTCCTTTTGAGGCAGTTTGACTATGTAGCCCAGGCTATCCTCAGAGAACTTATAATCCTCCTGCCTTTGCCTCTCAAATGCTGGGATTATTGGTATGTGCCACCATGTGTGGCTCAGATTGTCTTATTTTAAGAATTCTTTGAAATTGATGGTTTCTTTAAGTCAAGAAACAGTGATCCCTGGTGACAGTGATATTAGTATCAAATATCATGTTAATAACAACACTAAATTATTCTACAAAGATGTGCTCATCTCCACCTAGCTAACTAGTCACTCACCACCACCAATCAGTTGGGAGTGCTGTGCCAAAGTTCAGCAATAAATGCAAACCAGAGCCACTCCCTAGGTGCCTTCCAGGCCTCAATTTATGAAGCATGTTTGCTCAAGAGCATTTTAAATCCCTGAGGATGGTAGATCACATAGTACTCAGTGATCTCAAGGTACTAGAACATGCTGGTCCTCTTGTTTTGGCTATGTAAAATGTGCAAGTTAATTATGTTTACCAGGGGCAGTCAGCAAGAACGTATGATGTCTCCATAGGGTACACAGGTATATTTGAAGTGTGAGATAAGAATAAATAGGCGTATCCAGGCATTGCTGCATTTTGTTCTTGCTTTACCTATTCCTTGCAGGCTTATGGGACAAAAGTAGTTCTTGGAGCATGGTGTTCATATCTTATCTTTACTCACAGACAAGCTAGTTTACACAGTAATGAAAAAGGACAGGGATATTGTTCATAAATGTCATTAAAGATGAGTACTGAATGAACTTGTGTTGCATATGTGTAGATGATGAACTCCTGAACTCCAGCTAGTTCAAAAATGTCAGATAAGTGAAATAAATCAAATACTGTTTTATTGGCTATGGTCATAAGCAAGCACAAAATATTTATGTAATTCATTTAAAGACAGAATTTTAAATGCAATCAGAATTTGAAAAAAATTATTTGCATCTATATGTAATTTTTAAAAGTCTCACTGTGTACTGCAGGGTGGCCTCAGATCTTCTATGTAGCCAAACCTGACCTTGTGTTTTTAATCCTTCTGCCATAGTCTGATGTGAGTTTTTGAGATAGAGCCTTAAGATATCTATTGTCATTTATCCTACCATTTTTCCTTCCTTAAATTCTATGTATACGAATTTAAATAGGTGGATTGCACTGAATTCATTTCAGATACAGGAGTAAAATTAAGTACAAGTGAAAACACATTTTTAAGTATTGGAAATGAAAATGTGCATAGCCAATGAGTAGATTAAAACTAAATGTCGTTTCTTGTGCTATTTGACTATTTACATAGTGAAGAAATGAAGAACTTAACAGACTAGGAGAAAATACTTCAAAAAGATGTATCTAATAAAAGACATCAAAGTCTAACAAAAGTTATCAAAATTATTCAAAAATCTTAAAACTCATCAGAAAGAAAAGGAAACACTTTTTAAAAATAGATAATAGAAGAAAACTCACTGAAGATTCTATACAGACGGCAAATTTAAAAAAATGAAAATATGTTCAACCTTATAGGTGACTAGGAAACTGCAAATTAAAATGAGGTACCCCCCACTTTCCTGAGCAAACTTTAGATACTCTTTCCCTGGATAAGTTTATTCAGTCATATAAGTGGAAAAATATTCTGTTAATTTCTCTGTCTTTGTTACATGCCCACAGACACATTGACAGTCATAAATTATTTTCATATTTAAACTACAGTTTTCCACCCAGGACCAATTATAATGGCCCAAATCCAGATACTGATACTCCCAAATGCTGGTGAAATAGAACGAGAGAAATTTTCATTCACTGTGGGATGTAAAATAGTGCAGGAGCATTGGAGCCAGTCTGGCAGTATTCTTAGAATACAACTCAGCAACTGT